ACCTCATACTTGTGCACTTGGACAAATTACTTATGTCCCTCTGAGCCTCGATTACTCTCCTGGAAAAATGGGTGTAATCATAAGCTACATCGTGATGATTTTTTGAGGAATAAGTGATGGAAGCAAATCATTTCGTAAAAGCCCATCTTAACTTTTAAGGAGCTAGAGCCTTTATTATCACGATTAGTAGTAATATGGCTGCTGCTCATTTAGTCCACCAACATGAAAACCATTTCCCATGATAGAAAGGTAATGAGACACTGTCCCAGGCAGAGGGAACACCACATACTAAGTCTCTGATAAGCAGTAGCCTCTGACGTTTTGGAAGTTGGCAAAGAAGATGAGTGCAAGGGAAAGTGGAATAGTAGGAAGTTAGGCTATTACATACTAGGCTGCAGTCAGATGGCAGGGAGACTTGTTTGCTGTGGGAGGAATGGTTGGCTCCAGGATGGTGGTGGGGTGTGATTAGAGATATAAAAGCCGGGCGATGGCATGGCCAGAGGTAGGTCTTAGAGAGATTCCCAGGCAGCCAGGAGGAGGCCGGACCCAAGGGAGCTGGAAAACTCTAATGGAAAGTAAACTTTGAAAGCTAGTGCGTGGGTCCATGTAGAGTAGACAAGGGCTCATGATGAAGCGCTTCATTTCAACTAAACAGAGGCCTCTGGAGTTACCAGGTAAGGAGAGCAGTTCCTGTTCTCAGGCACAACATCTAGTGGGTAAGGGGGCGAAAGCTAGAAATAGCCATAATTTAAGACAAGTGATCATCACAAGAATAACAAGGACATGGCTGAGAGGGTCAAAAGGAGGGAGGTGTGACATCTAGGTGGGCGGATGAGAAAAGGACATGGGCTTATTGTCAGAACCCCCCACCCTCGATCATAATCAGCTGTATGAGGCAAGGGCTATATGTGTAGCTTTCTTGCCTGGTACACAGAAGGGAATCAATAAGTGTTTATTGAAAACTAAGTGATTGTGGACTGAGGTTCATCCGAGAAGTTTCCATGGAGCCGGTGGATGCATAGAGTGGAGACGAGGGAGGGGCCCATTCCAGGAAGTCCCAGCAGGTCAGTGGGCTGAGTTTGTGAATGCTGATGTTTCTGAGGCTTTGGCTTTGCTCTCTCTGATCCTAACTACACAAGGCTTATTATTATTATTATTATTATTATTATTATTATTATTATTATTATTATTTTATCTTGAAATAAGCAAGCAAACAAACAACCATGACAGCATCATACAACTTCTCCCGTCCCCCGTCCCCCATGCGGGATTTCCGCATGTGGGGTTGGGTGCAGTCGAGCTGGGTGTGCCCGATGGAAGAGCCATGTGAACCAATCTCAATTTCACCAAGTAAAGCGACAGCGCGTTTAGCTCAGGAGAAGGAAGGCTTTTCTGTCAGCATAACCAGGGTACCACAACATTGTGTGCGCTACCTGAGAAACCAAGGCCAAGTGCTGATGAGAGGTCACCGTGTTTAGCTGATGATTTAAACAAACAAAAAAACAAAAAAAACCAAAAACAAACATTGAGCTTTTCTTGGCAGGAGAAAAAAAAATACAGATTTCATTGGACTGAAATTTAATATAAGATAGCTATGGGTTCTGAGAATTTGTGAAAGCCATTCATGATGATAAAGCTTTCATTTGCTTTGGAGCAAGTAATCCTTTAGTATGCTATTTATTGTCTTTTCATTTTAGTTGTGATTTCAGCCCAGGCAAAACACTGGGCCCAAAGTGCTTCTTCAGTAAGACCCACCCTGTCTCCTTTAAATTGCATTTTGTCTGGAATGGACTAGGTCACATGTAATAAATTCTGGCATTTTAATGGAAACATTACAGCAAAAATAGTTATCAGTCTGCTTTAATTTCAAAGCTAATTTTCCCTTTCATACAGTAAGGCAGTATCTTGGTAAAATATGCAGAATGAATTGGGATTTAATTTTGATGGCAGTTGGTTCTGAAACAAGGTTAACTGGACTGTCAATATTCAGGATAAGGATGTTGGGGTTTGCAGTGGGGACGGATAGTAGCAGCTTGGCCTTCCTGGGTCCTGAGTGCCACGTGGGCCTCAGGGGAATTAGACACCCTGGCACATTAGCTGCTGAAGGTCCGAATCAGTGGAAGTCTCGATGCTCCCATGAGCGCCGATGGGGCCTGTGCATGCCAATGGGACCATCCCATGTGAGGACTGACAGATGTGGACAAAACCTGGGAATGTTTTTTATCTATCCACTGGATTTCACTCGTTCATTAATTTATTCCTGTAAAAGATTTTTTTGTTGTTTTTTGTTTGTTTGTTTGTTTTTGTTTTTGTTTTTGTTTTAGCTGAGCCATCCTACCACCTGTTGGCAGCTCAGCGGCAGCTCAGCTCGGGCCGAGACTCAAACCGCTGTTGCTCAGAGCTCACACTCTTGAGCGAGCTCTTAACCAACTGAGCCACTTGGCCGGCCTGCAACAGATATTTGAATCCCATTATGCTAGGTGCTAGAGATACAAAGGTGTGCAAAATTAAGCAGACATCCTATCTTAGGAAGATTATAGGCTAATGAGAGAGAAATACATTCATCAAAGGATGATACAAATATATGTATAAGGACAGCCATGCCAGCGACTTTGATGGAGGGGTCCTTGGTGCCATGGGAATGTGTAAGAGGGTATTTTGTGTGGTCTGAGCAATGGTAGAGGTAGCCATGGAAGACCTTGCCTAGGAAGTCGCAACAGAGCTGGAAACTGGGCAGAGTAGGTGGCATGGTAGGGACTATCCCAGGAAAAGTGTACACAGACCCTTCATGGAGTGTTGCATGCTAGGTCTGAGGCACTCAAGTTGACTCAATGAGACTGGAGAGCAGATAGCACAGGACTTGTGATGGGAACATCCATGAGAGAGGCCCAGCAGAATCTTCTGGGTCATAGCAACAGAGCCAGCCTTATTTCCTGAGTTTATCAGGCATGGTTTTCGGCTAGAGTGTCACATGGTGCATATCTATTTTTGAAACGATTGCTTTGAAGCTGTGTAGAGAATGTGCTGGAAGGGAAAGGGAGTGGGTATTGGGAAACAAGTCAGATGCTTCTGTGGAGGCCAGCTCAGAGAAGAAGGGGGCTTGGAACAGAAGGCCGCCAGTGCAGAGGCACGCTTATTGGAACCTGCCTTAGGCAGTGAGTCAACCAAGCTCTAGGTTTCATCTTCGAGGGCCGAGGGTCCTGTAGGAAGCAGGAAGAAATCATATATTTGAGAAACCTCCGGAGTAGGGGTGATAGATATGAGCACTAGGCATTCAGGCTTTGAAATGGTTGAAAGCAGATGGGGAGGAAGTTGGGATGAAAGTGCGCAAAAGAGGTTATGAGCCTGAAGCCGGTCAAATGTTATGCAAACCAAGCGCAAACAGTGTTGGCTATGGACCTGTCATCCAGTTCTTTCTATTACCAGCCATACTTGATGGGCATAATGATTATAAAACATCTATGTTGCTGCAAACTTAAAAAAGGAAATACATTTTTTACCATACAGCAAGCTGCCTGGAGCAACTTAAAATGAGCACCTTTTCAAGTGAAGGCTATACCAAGCGTCTGCTCAGCTAATGGAGAAACTACCTGGAGGGCAGAATGGGTCCCAAGTCTGGCGTCAGCAGTTCCTGGAACTGCCCTGGGCAGTGGTGTCTGGTGGACTCTCACATATTCCACCCACCAGCCACATTGCTCCCAACTCTGACATCCCCACATGACTGCTGCGAGCCCTGGGATGAATCATCTAGTCTTGCTTAGTTGCTTCCCCCCTAAAATGGCAGGGACCCGCCTCTTACAGTGCCTTTCACCTCTAGTCTATTTGATTCCATGCAGAAAGGATCCAATGCTGTGCTTGATACGCCTGTGTATCCTGGGTCACTGAAGACTTTGTTAGCTATCTTTCGTTGTCATGGTTTCTGCTCTCACTCTGGCCAGGAAGAGTTCGGTCCTTATCAGTACCACTGTTTGCCCTGAGGACATCTTAAGCCTGTTTCTGAAAACCCAGTGCAGCCCCATGAAGGCATCTTCTGTCCTCTCGTCCAGTTTATTTCCATCAACAAGCAAGTGAATATGCATGTGTGGGTCCCCCTGTTGTGTGCCTTACATTGTGCTCAGGGCTTTCACCCACTTAATTGTCAGACACCCTTGTAAGGCAACGGTAACATTCAGCATTGTAAGAAAAGGAGTCAGAGCCTCACTGAGGCTAACTGCCCCGAGGCCACCCAACAAAAAGAAGGGAGCAGAATAATGTCAAACCCAAGGCTTCTGATTCTGTATCCAGTTTCCCGCCCGCCCCCCGCCCCCTGCAAAGTGCTAAATAAGCTGGGTTTAGGTGGCTCATGGACAATGCAGGGGAAAAAGCGAGTCACGTGATAGGAAAATTGTTTGCTTTTCAATTCCTTCTCAAACATCCTGGTTAATCAAGTAGAAAATGTGTTTGGTGTTCAAGTGGCTTTAGCACGTGTTGAATATATGCTAATCTCCCTTTTTAACCAAGTGAAATGGCCTCAGGCTTAGCACCTTCAACACTCAACAGTCTCTAGCAAGAATTTAATAAAATTTTGATTTCATCTTCTATATTTGGAACATCATATTGGTTTTCCTCATGATGGTGATATAAAGTTGCCTTTTGAGGAAGAAAATTAAGGGGAAAATAATGAATAAATTTTAGTTCAGGTGTATGGGCATAGTAATGATAAAAATCAGGCCTGTGTATTCATCTAAATGGTCTGGGAACTGTTCCATTTTTTCACACTGCTTCCCTTGCTCACAAGACATGTGGTGCTCTTTATGTGATCATTGTGGCGCTAAGGCCTGAATCTGTTCTTTGTTTATTTGTTTTCCTGGGAAACATATAAAAGAGATTATAATGAAAACTACCCCTGTCATTAGAACCATTGAAGAATACTTCTTAAGTTTAAATTTTATAACCCAAATGAACCCAAGCTAGTAATGGAGTCTTAAAACCTAGGAAAAATATGTAAGTTTATTGCAAAAGATAATATCCCATTTAAAACAGTTTAGAAATTTACAAAACCTTACATTATACATAGTCTTTAAGAAGATGCTCTATAGATGAGCTGGTATTAAGTTCCAAGTATAGTGAGTACACGTTTTGTTTTGTTTTTTAAACTACAGAGAAAGCAGCTACATAAACTCCTGCAACTTAAGTTGATGTATCATTCTTTTTACCTTCAATTTTATAAAAGTAATTTTTATTAAATTAATATCTCTCCATAAAACCATATAACCTCAAGTACAGCATTTTTTGTAGAGTATCATGGAAGATGTCACATAATATTTTACAATGACGCAATTTTCACACGAGTAGATGAGCATACAGTTTTGGTATAAGTATATGCGTGGTTTCTTTTTAAACAGAGAGATGATTATTTTTGTTAGCAGGAAAGTGTTTACCGAGTCCTTTTCCCTCATAATGATTTTAGATTTCAATTTCCGGACAAGACCTCCTTCCCAGTTTGAGGTTGGTGGCCCAAGTAATTCTGTGTTGTGCTTTGGTATATAGAATCATTACAGTCTCGTTTGGTCGTATTTCTAGAAATGTCAACGTTTTCCAGCCCCAATTTTATTTAATTCAGTTGAGGGTTAATCTGAGGCCCCCAACTCGACAGAAGTATGTGACAACATGCGCTTCTTAATTATCTGAAGAGTCGGATTATGCCTTTTTGTGCAAATGACCTCAGACACCTCTTCATCGTCCCAGGCTAACTTTGGCAAATGATCCGGCTCAGCTCTGGGACGCTCTGCTCATGTGATGTTGGACCGTGCACAGAGCTTATGAAGCAGGAAGAGCAGGCGTTTGTATCTCCATTTGAGAATGGACATATAGGCCCTGAAAATGTAAGCAATTTGCCAAAGGTTAGTGAACTAGACTCTTCTGTTACCTGGGTCTCTTAATTCCCGGAACAGGATTATTTTCATTCCAGCATGCTGCCTGAGAATATAAATTAACTTGAAAATTAGTGTAAGCAAAGCAAATTAAGATGGAAGCTCCGCGACAAGATAAAATTACATAAGCAATCCCACATGATTTTGCTTTATTGGATTAGCCTCTCTCTGTGCTGTTCTTTTCCATTGTTGGGGCCAAACGAGGGTGGATTGTGTGGATACAGAAGGATCTGTGGCTTTTAGCCAGTGGTAGCCGATCTTACTGAAACGTGGCTTCTTAAGTATGACAAGTGCATTTATCTTAATTCCAACTTAACATTATGGATGCCGGTCTCATTTAAACATTACGCTAGGAACAGAACAAGAACATCTTGAATGACATTCCAAGACTTAAATAGTGCAGACCGAGGTTCATTGCCAAATTTCCCTCCCGCTCTCTCTGAAATAGCTCTGTGCACTGCAGCACTGTGGCAGGGAAAGGTGCAACTGCCAGAGTGGTTTGCTCAATCTGACTCAATTTGCAGTGGGGTACGTACAGCCCACGTTCACACAGGTGCTGCACTCTGCAGACCCTAATTCAGACCTCTGATCTTGAGCAGAGGGGGTTGTGAAATGCCTTCTTCATTGAATGCCATGTTGAGCTTTAGGATCCATTTTCTAAGCATCATCAATCCAACCACAGGCTGGTACAGAATTTAAAGAGAAGGAATATGAGCCTTGCCAACCCCTGTCTCATCCCCAAGAGTATGTAGCGATTACTTAATTATATTATATTAGTAGTTTGTTCAGCCATGCACCTTTGACTGGGCCCACATGTACGGGGGTCTTGTGAAAAGAATGAGCCAGACTTTAAAAGAATTCAGACTTTGGGAAGAAAAGGTCTTTAATACTAAAATGAAAAAAAAAATGTATATATATCCTCATCTCCAGTCCTGCTGCTGCTTCAATCAGGTGGCCATTGCCTGGTCATCAGGAAGGGAGATTATGTAGATTAATATACTTCTGAATTTATCTACAAAGCTGTTACGAGAATGAACGGAGCAGACCCAACGTTGTGTTTTTTCCTAGTCTTATGTATGTTACTGGTAAGATGGAACGGACAGACAGGCTGCTGGATCTCATGATCTTAAATGTTGCAGGGAAATGAACTGTGGGTCTTAAAGTTCGAACCCAAGCCAGATCCCTCCCATTGGCCAGGCGGTCAGTCTCAGGCCCAAGGCTGAGAAGCACGATGGTCTAAGGTGGGCCCCGGAGCAGCCACGACTGCGGGGTAGCACGCCACCGAGCTCCTCAGACCCTGCAGCGACCTTACTCTGCCACAGACTGTAAGGCCCACCCAGCATGAGGTGACAAATTCTTGATTTGGGATCAAGGGGCTAATTAAAAATGGAAATGACCAACCCACCAGGCGAGCTTGCGTGCTTATGTCCGGCCCATTTCTGCTGTGCTTACGTCCGCCAATCTCTTAGAAAACTGCCCGTTTGTGCATCTCACGTTTTTCAGGTGTACCTGCTGACAGCCCTCCTCCCGCTTCCTGCTCTGCGTTTCTTTGCCTCTTTCTTTTGGGATGGCAAACCCAGGACGGGAAGGAAGTGCTTAGCATCATGGAGGTGCTGGACAGTGCGCTGGGGGCTCTGCTCATGGTGGGAATCTGGACTCGCAAACTAGGATGTGGCCTGGTTTGTGCATGACAGGGAGCTAGGCAGGGGGTCGCTCTAGGATCTGTGAAGTCCCAGCGCGCAGTGGCACTCACTCAGGTGAGGTCGGCGGTCAGGTGTCCGGCAGCAGCTCAACCAGCCCTGAGTGTTCCCGTTCGGCAGGTCGAGTAGCTCACAGCCTGGGCCTTGGCTGAGAAGGAGAGAAGGCCTGCAGGCAGTGGTCTCCCCGCCTCGGGGAGGTATTTAGGAAGCGCACAGGGAAGGGTCCCCGCCAGCTCAGATCCACCAGAAGCATTTCTTCTTCACCTTCTTGGTTTTCCGCCTCAAGTCCTGTTTCTCAGGAGCCGGGGGTTCAGCCGGGGACTTTGGCGGGGCAGATGGCTCCTCAGCTGGTTCTGCTTCCTCCAGACTCTGCAGAACTTCATGGAACCTGCCTTCCTGCTGCCGAAAATCATATTCTACACTGGAAAACATAAAGAGTAAGGAAGGAAAGTAAATTCAAATCAGGACATGCTGATTTAGCCTCACCAAGTGTCCAGCTGACCCAATGAACCCGGGCTTTGAAATCTAGTCCCAGATGCTTAGGTACTGACTGGCTGTGCGACCTTGGGAAAATTGCTCCACCTCTTTGAACCTCCAGTTCCTCATTGACTAAAGTGGGACCTGTAATGCCTTCTGCTTGGGGATGTTCTTAAATCTAAATGAGGCATGTAACATGGCAGCCTGATAGTGGGAGACGTTCAGTAATCGTTGTTCCCATCTCTCACTCCCATTAGTTTAATGCTCTTAATTCTCAACCCTTTTTACATGTTATGCATGAAAACTGCTTCATTTTAAAAGACTTAAATAATACAGAAGAATATCCAATAAAACTGACAAACTCAGTTTCCTCATCTGTAAAGTGGACATAATAATAGCACCTATCTCAAAGGCTTTCTTTGGGATTTATTTTCTATATCAATTGAGAGACTATAAATGAAGTGCTTAGAGCAGGCCTGGCATACTTAGAGCAGGCCTGGCATGTAGTAAGCCCTCCATCTGCATGACCACCATTAACGTTATTACCACTAATATATTACGTCTTGCCTTTGCCTTGCTTTTCAACTTAATAATATATTATCTTGGAGAGCTTTGCCTATATACTTACCTCCTCGTATCCCTCAGTACAGGCATAGTTAAACACTCCCCTTTGATGAGTGCTAATTCCTAACCTCCTTTTTATTTATTTATTTTTTCTTTTCTATTTTATTTGTGTGTTTTGGAGTCATTAATGTACAGGCTCCACTGTATGGTCCGTACACTGGTCTGTGAGGTAAACATGGCGCCATCTGGGACCAGGGTTCCCAGAGGTTGAGAGCGTCGGGCCAGGGTGTGCAGACGCTCTGGCCTGCGCTGGCTGTGGCGCTGCCCGCTGAGAGCTTGTGAATCAGGCTGGCAGGCCTCAGGGGCTGCCAGCCTGCCTCGTCCCTCTGGCACAGCCTTCCCAGAGCCTGGAGAGCCGAGCCAGAGAGAATGAACCCTGCAGGCTGCGCGTGGGCTCTCTCTGCCTGCAGTTGTCCACTTTCCTCCCTAGGGCATTTGCTTATGGAGGCGTTCCCAGGGCCGGGACACTTGTAAGAAAGCTGTTAAGCTTTCAGCTGTGTCTGTTACCTGGTTTCGTACTAGAGCTCTCAGGAGGCCAAAGATGAGGGGCCAGCGTGGGCGTGTGGAAAGCAGAAGAAATGCAGAGTCACGGAAACAGTGCATTCTCCCTGTTTAGACAGCAAGGAGGAGATGAAATGTTTCACATGGAAGACAGGAGACCCCGCGTTGGTCTGTGACGTGGCATGACTGGCCAAAGTCTTCCTACCCAGCAGGGGTTGAAAGGAGCTAAAGGCACACTTGTCCTTGTCTGCTATGCCCATGTCACCCAGAATCAGAGTAAGTGCTGCTGAAAAGGCAAATCATGATTGCCATGCATGACTAACGGAGCCCCCACATGGTTCTTTGTCACTGGGCGTTCTGAATGGAGGAAGCTAAAGCAACCAATGAGGTGTCAGTATTAGGGACATCGGGGAGGGGCGTCTGAATATTTTGTTTCTGTGTTTTTGATAAGCTTCACCCAGATTTTCTTTTCCTCAGTTTACATCCTTTTACTTTCTGTTCCTACCTGGGTCCCCTCTGTAGGGACATACTTCTGGCTGGGTGACCTATATCATCGATGAAACACAGGCTGTTTTTCAAAGCAAAGCTCCCGCACTGATTCTCTCTGAGATCTTGGGGGAAGTAATTTCTCATTTTCGAGCCAGTGTCCTCATCTCTAAAACGATCATGGCACCTACTCATAGCATCTCCGTGAAGTTTAAACAACATAATGCACATACAACACTCAGCTCAGTGCCAGGCACCAAGTATTCAGCCAGTCATTCAACAATCATTTATTAAGTATCTCACATGGGCCAGGGCCTGGACTAGGTGCTGGGGGAGGAGTGGTAGACAGAAGAGACAGACAGACCTTATCCCCGGCCTCCTGGTGCTGGCAGTCCAGTGACTCTGGGTCCTCAGTAGATGCCGGCCAACACCAAGAGCTGTGAGAGACCTTCTAGCCAAAGCCCAGGACTCGCCAGGCCAGTGAGCAGAGGCATCCGCAGACTCTCACACCAAGGCTCCCACTTACAGTATGCGCTACTCAGCACTGCACCCCGATTTGTCCCGGGGCCTAGGGTGGCTTTCTGTCTGCACTATAGACACCTCATTTTTCCCAGTGGAAACTTAAGGAGATGGATTCAAAGGCTGGGGAAGGGTCATCTCCTACAACCTTCAAATGTTTCATGGAAAACATTTGAAGCATAAGCTGCAAACACTGATTGTCACCCCCTCTAGCACTAGTTCACATCCACATTTATATAATAGTTCTCCTAGCTCCAGAAATGGCCCTGCTCTCTCCTGAGGCAGAAAAATAACCATGATCCCAGAGCACCACATGGAGCCAAAGAAACTGGGTACTGCCTGCTCATTCTAGGAGTTTCCTTTGCTGTCTGCTATAAGACATTCACTCACCCATCCACCCATCCATCATCTATCCATCCACCAAACCATCCATCCATCCATCCATCCATCCACCCACCCATCCATTCATCTATTTGTCCACCCACCCGTCACTCCGTCCACCCTGTTCTGGCCCTGACACTGTGCCGGGCCACAACAGTAAGGCAGACAGACATGGATACTGCTCTTCTGGGTCTTACTTCCCAGTGTTTGGGGCAGATGATTAAACTAACAATTGCTTTAAGAATACGCACATGCTCTGTATTTATCTTAAACTACCCTTACTTTCCAGCTCTTCATCCGTACACGTCTACCAAAGTTTATACACACACATTAACCAGCTTCCTTCTTCTCCTTATATATGACATTTCTCTGACTTCATAATTCAAACAAATAACACCAACAAGCCACCTAAGTGCGTCAAGACTCACGACAGTGTCCTGAGGCCAATGAGAAAACAATAAGGCTCTGGGTGAACCCAGAATGTGTACAGAGCTGGCAGGCCTGGGAGAGAAAAGCCAGGAAGGCAGACTGTAAACTCTATGTCATCATCACAATTTAAAGTGCAGCCCAATAGAGAGGGTAGAGCAAGGGCTCTCGAGTGCAAAATGTTTGGGTTTGAGCTGAGGCTGCACCACTTACTGGCTGGGTGACCTTGGGCAAGTTGCTTCTCTTTCTCAGACTCAGGTGCGAGTGGGGGTGATAAAGCTACCTTACTGGGTAGTTATGCAGATGGGACACAATGACAGGTCAGATGTCCTCATGTAGGATTGGTCCCTGCCCACTCCACGCTTCACTAAGCATTTTGTCTTTCTATCTTAGTGACCGAACGCCTCACCTCCTTACTCATACCTTAAGCTCTTCAGTCAATGTATACGTAGCCAGCAATACCTCTCTTCACCCCTCCCCTCCATGTACATTCAGGAAAGAATACGTTCTATGTTTCTATGGAAACACCGCAGGGTTCCATTGTAATCATTGGGGCTTAGAGAGCTCCCCACACCCCTCTTGCAACTACCCCCACTGGTCTTGGCAATTTAAAGGGGATGGAAAGTGACTTTCTTTTCAAGGCCAGGCAAATAGCAGAGTATAGAGAAGTGTGTGTACTTTGGAAAGAAATTGATTAATGTTTTTTAGGCCAAAGCAATTTATTAACATAAAAGAAAATTGTCACTTTCCTTCTTTTTTCTTCCATTTGACAAACCACTGTTTGGTTTGGAGGAAAGGAGAGGGAATGTATTTTGTTTTGGTAGCAGCTGCCTTGTGGGCAGGGAGCGGTGCCCTCTCTCATCACTTTTTCATCTTGAGGCTGGGTGGAGAAAAGGAGACAGTCCTCAACTTCCTTCTTAGCCAACCCACACTATATTCAGCAACCTCTTGAAAAGGGGAATGAATTGCCTACTTGGTGAGAATATCAAGGTGGAGCACCAGTAACTTTTCCAACCTCACTTCCCCTTTTCTCCTTCCTCTTAGTCTCCCTCCCCACCCCCCAACCACGCATCTTCTGCCATATCCTATTCCATATGGATGAAGATGAGTGTGAATGCTTAGCTTGTAGGGCTCTGGCTCACAGTGGGGCAAATGGTGGCCAAGAAATTGTTACAATCCGGAATGAAGGACTAGAGCCATTGAGGTAGTGTGGAACACTCGAAATCTGTGAGGTTGGTCGTCTGAGGATGGTTGAAATACCTGACACCTGCCCAGTTCACTGTCTGGGAGGCCCAAGATGTCTGTGCATGGTACCACACTGCACTCAGAAAGTGAGCTGTGTGTCAACCGGAAATGGAGAGATCTCAGATTTCCTTCTTGAAGGCCCCTCGCTAATCTAGCTCCAGATCAATGCTTCAGCCATCAGATGAAGTGAAAAGCAGAAGGATGCTTTTCTAGGTCATTGGAAGCGGTGGAAAGCCTAAGTCATGGCTTGTCTGGAGGAAGAAATAGCGAAAAGCCAAAGATAGATAAATATATTAGTACATAAGCAAACAACAGAGCCAACTTCTGGGTGTAGTACCTTGGCTGGGCCAACTGAAGTTGGGGACACCAAAAAGAAATAAAAGTTTATATGGACACAAATAAACCTTAGAAACCTCTTACTTTTTATATGGCACTTTCAAATTGCAAACACTTCAGATCTGTGTTTTCATTTTATCCTCACGATAGCCCAGGAAGATGGAAAGCTTGTTATCCCCATTTAACTGACAAGAAGTTGGCAAAGAAAAGTCCCTCCATGAGTTATGATCTGAATCTGAGCCCGGTTTCCAGACTGCTAGCCCTTTGTTTACGTAAAGAAGAATCAAATGTTTTAGCCAGCGTCTTACTCTAAGAAAGAAATAACAAGAGACGACCTGGACCATGCTAGGTGAGGACGCATGGCCATTTAAATTAATAATAATAATAATAATAATAATAATACTTAGAAGAAGGAGGAGGGGAGGA